GCGTCGTCAAGCACTCGAACCGCCGCTTCCGCGAGGAGCTGCCGGGCGATCGCACGCTGGCGCGCCTCGACCGCGAGGTGGCGCCGCCCATCGGCCAGGTGGCGCTCGTCTTCACCGACATCAAGAACTCGACGTCGCTGTGGGAGACGAACGGCGGCATGCAGACGGCGATGCGGCAGCACAACTACCTGCTGCGGCGCCAGCTGCGCACGATTGGCGGCTACGAGGTCAAGACGGAAGGCGACGCCTTCATGGTCTCGTTCCCCTCGGTGACGTCGGCGCTGCTGTGGTGCTTTACCGTGCAGCTGCAGCTGCAGGAGGAGGACTGGCCGCAGGAGATCCTCGAGAGCGACGACGGCCGCGAGGTCTTCGACGCCGCGGGCAACCTCATCCACCGCGGCCTCTCGGTGCGCATGGGCATCCACTGGGGCTGGCCCGTCTGCGAGGCCGACCCCATCACGCGCCGGATGGACTACTTTGGTCCCATGGTCAACCGCGCCGCGCGCATCTGCGGCGCCGCCGACGGCGGACAGATCATGGCGAGCAAGGACGTCATCACCGAGCTTCGCGAGATCCTCGGCACCTTCAACCACGACCCCAGCGGCGCCGGCAGCGGCAACAACGGCGGCGCCGACGCTGCGGCCGCGTCGTCGTCGTCGCCGCCGCCGACGCCGGGCAAAAAGAGCCACGAGATTGACGAGGACACGTTCCGGCTGCTCAACCCCAACGTGAGCCGCGACGTGGTGCTGCTGCGCCGCATGGGCTTTGGCATCTCGGACATTGGCGAGCGCCGGCTCAAGGGCCTCGAGACGCCCGAGGCGCTCTCGCTCATCTACCCCAAGCAGCTGGCGGGCCGGCTGCAGCAGGACACCAAGGCCAATGCGCCGGCGGCCCAGGTCTATGAGCCGACCGTCAAGCTGCTCGACGTCAACGAGATCAAGCAGCTCGGCATGCTCTGCCTGCGCCTCGAGTACCTGGCGTCCGACGTCGTCTTTCCGGCGCTCCTCGCCCAGGCCCAGGCCGATGCGGCGGCGGCCAGCGAGGGTGGCGCTGGAGGTGGTACCGAAGGCGGCGTTGGCTCCGCGACGGACGGCGGCGACCAGCCACCCGAACCATCGTCTCCAATGCACCGCGGGGAGCAGGCCGCCGACAGCACCGCCGCCAGCAGCGGCGCGGGCCCGCCGACGGCGGCAGCACCGGCCATCGCGGGCGCGGCCAACGGACATGGAGCGACCGGCGCAGCAGCCGGCGCAGCAGCAGCAGCGACGAGGGCGCGACCGGCCTCGCTGGCGGCCATGTCGCACAGCGCTCGGCGGAAGCTGGTCGAGACGGCGCTCGAGATGAACCCGGAGCTGATGGCGTGCACGATGCGCGACGACGGCACCGACCAGGAGCTGTTTGGGCTGCTCGAGCAGTTTACGATGCGCATCACCAACGCCATTTCGAGCCTGACGCTCAACCTGGTGCGGCAGCGCGCCGCCGAGGCGGGCGGCTCGACGGCCCGCATGGACGCCAGCAGCCTGCAGCTCCTCGTCGACCTCCTCGGCCCGCTTCCCCCCGCCCCTCTTCCCGCTGCGGCCACGACTGCTGCTGCTGCCGCCGCCGCCGCCGCCGCCGCTGCGGCTGCTGCCTCGGCCGCTTCCACCACCTCTGCCCTGCTCTCGCCCGACGCGGCGGCTCCCTGACGCGGGAGCGCACGGGAGCGATGCGCAGTCTTCTCGCAGCCGCTCGCTACCTCTCTACCCTCCCGCTCTCTGCCTCTCGCTATCCCTCGCCCGCAATCTCTTCATCCCTGCCTTTCTCTCTCGCCCCTTGATCTCTTATCCTTCTCACCCTGCCCTTCCGCCCTGCCCTGCCCTGCTCTTTCCCTCCGCCCCGCTCTCTCCCCATCCCAACTTGTCCCTAGGCTTTGCGCATGTACGAATAGGAGCAACCAACTGACCAGTATTGTAGCCCAACAGGGGCAACGGTGACGGTGGCGGTGACAGTGATGGCGCCAGTCTCGATTGAAATGGGTCTTGTCTGTCTGGCTTGACGCTTCTCCCCCTTTGCTCGAGGGGCTTGCGACGATGCTGGTGGTGGTGGTGGTGGTGGTGGTGGTGGTGTTGGTCGGGCTGCAGTGGTATGCAGGGCGAGCGTGAAGGCGCGGAATGACATCACCCGCCTTGCTCGCTGCCCCGCCTTCCAGCTGGGCTGGACGCGACGGACGGACGGACGTTTAGACGCCGAGCGAATTGGACCGCCTGGCCTAGCAGGGAAGAGGAATGAAAAACCCACATCTCGAAAATAAACTGATCTGAGGACCGCGAATGTGGCTGGGATCGCGTCCAGCCTCTGCTGCTCCGTGATGCCAGGCCGTCGAGCCTGAATGGGTTATTTGAAAACTGAAATGTTTCTTTTTTCTCGAATGTCGACTTGGCGTGCAGGAACCCGGGCTGAACAAAAGCACGCATGCATCAAAATACCAAGCAAGCAGAACCGGCAAATAGATGCAGCACAGGCAGGTCGAGAAGCAAAGGCCGGCACGGCACGGGGCGGCACGTACGGCGTCATGGCTCCCTCTGGCTTTCCAACTCAGTAGTCCCGCCTTGGCTGGCCTGGCCTGGCTTGCTCGCTCGAGGTTTGGCAAAACGAAAAACCGAGGTCCGCTCGGTGCCTTGATTCGCTGGCTTGGCGTTGGTTTCGAAGCTCGTCTGCATGGTGGCGGACCGATGATATGCCGATGCCGTCGTCGACGGTGATGCGCGTACGTGTTCGATGACCGGAAGGCGCTCGATCCATGGCAGAGCAGAGTCGACTCCGACAGAGAGAAGTGGCCGATGTGACGGTCGGCACAGACAGGCAGCCAGGGCTCAGAGGGAGAGGCAGGCAGAGGGAGACGCACGCAAGCAAGCTGAGGCGGGCGGCCTTCCCGAAACCCTAGCCTGCCTACCCTGCGCGCCGCTGCTGCGACTCTGCCGCTGCCGCTGCGGTCCGATCCGTTGTTGGGCGGCCGGGCTGCGTCACAACACCGACCGGGCGTCGAGCACGGCGCAGCCT